CAGACCAACAGCCAGAGACAGTGGTAGACGATTATTCGTGAAATCAACTGAACTGCTAACTAGTGCAGGATGTCAGATATGAACCACTGTGACTGGTCTCAGTCACTGATTGTCTCAGTCTTTAAAAAAGGTGAGAAGCCTTCTTGTAATAACCGCAGGTGCATTAGCCCGACGACTCTAGGTTCTATTATCATTAGGCGTCTGAGTGAAGCTCGGGAATAGCAAGGGCTAGAAAAACAGGCAGACTTCAAACCCGGCCGTGGGTGTGTCGACCAAATATTCACACCACTAGGTTCTGGGACACACGACTGCTTAACGATGCCCGATAATAGCCATAATTCTCGACATAAAGGCGGCGGCAATCGACTCCGCCGACTAAGATGTCTAGTGGTGGTATCTTCTACTGAAATTAAGTACATAATTGTGTTGAAGGATCTCTACACGAACAGCCAATGATGAGTTCTATATGTTGAAGGATGTCCTGCAACGATGTCCACCCTCTCTGTCAGAGACCTACTTATGCAGGTGGCTTCGTCGTCTGACTTCACAAGGATTGGTCTTGTCACAGGAGAATCCTTAGTAGATCTAGAGTACACAGATGACAGTCCCGTTAGGTGAAGATGCGGACAAGATTCAGTCTCCTGGACACGTTGAGTAGCAACTTGAAAATATTTGGAATATGTTTCTTGCCACCCACATGAAAATCGCTGGTCGGCGACTAGTCTTCAGTGGTGCCCTGTCCGATAATAGGTAGTGAACGGATCGACCATGCTGTTCACTTTACCTACCTGGGAATTCCGATTAGCCCTGGTGGGTCAATGGCCGACTAAATCTCTGCACAGATACAAAAGGCTCGCTTGGCTTTTGACAACTTACGCCACTTATGGCACCGCCACGATCTCCGACTATCTATTAAGGGTCAGGTATACAATGATGTAGTTCACTCTCTTCTACCGTATGCCTGTGAAACATGTTCATTAGAGGTAGAAGGCCCGAGAAGGCTTCAGGTGTTCGACCACCGTTGACTTCAAAGTATAGACTGTGTCGTGCTGTCACCACGTGAGTAATGCACAAGTCAGGTGTAGAGTTTTATACAGGAGAGGTAAGATAGTTGATGCGATTGTGAACCTTCATCGACTGAGCTGGCTGGGACATACGTTACGTATTCCTATTCACCGTCTGCCCCGTCACTCAGTGTTAGCTGACGTAGGTTCAGGCTGGAAAAAGGTTCTAGACAGCCAGACTAAAACATGGCATCACTGCACGAAGTCTTTGACTGTTGGTCAGGACCGTATATGGAATTCTTAGTTGGGGTCCACATGACTACAAGAATGAATGGTCAGAGATTTTAGCCGACAACTCAGAATCGATGTCATGGGCGTAGGTGTATCCATACGTTATCCTCATCGTAGTAGTCATACTGAATTCAGTATTTTCTCATTACTTCTCTCTTTTAATATTATGTACTATCTCCGACCGATTCTTCTTTATCTCTTAATCTTTCTTCCCAGTGCTTTGTCACCAAGTTTGCTGATATGAAGTCTGGCAACTTGGATCGTTATGCAGTAATGCGCGATAACGATGATGGTGGTGTAGGGAAGTGTAGACTTCCCATTTTGAACCGGCGTGACAACCGAAATAAGTGGTCAGAGAATCTAGGTGATGTCTCTCGGAATCGATTTAAATGGAGGAGATGTATTCACGGATTATCTGTAGTGTAGTCGTTTTACCCAACTGGATTATATTCTCACTCCTCCTTGCTCTCTTTCCCCAAGCTTCTGCTACTTCCGACAACCTTCTTTCTTATTTCCCGATCTCTCATTTTGGTGTATTCGCACTTAATTTGATGATATGAGATACCGCAACGTGGAGCAGTACGTGGTTGATATTGACTGATTCCTTCTGCGTAGGCTTCTACGCATGACTTAAGCATTACTGACGTGATGGCACTACGACACACTACTTATGATATGAGAGGGGGCCGTGAACAGGCTAATAGCAGGGAAAAATCGATGTAGAACCTCGTAGAGAAGTTCGTCGGTTTGTTTTGCAACAAAAAACAGTAGCATGTGAAGAGCAGCTGGGTGGAAAAAGGGTGATGTCAAAGTATATAAATGAGTATGAAAAGTCAAAGATTTTAAGAAAAAAAACTAAGGGTAGTGGAAATATTCAAATTTCAGCAGACATCGAAAAGTGAATACAACCGCGTCATCGAGATTGATTACTGGTCATTTCATCAAGGGTCTCCTATCATTGATTGCTATTATCTCAAAGACCTCTGTCGGTCAGTCTACATCCCATACAAGGGTCAGACCAACAGCCAAAGCATCCACAGAGTGGCAGGTGGTAGTCTAGTATCTCGCGTTACAATTAGCTACCAATGATGTGGATATTTCAAGGACTGTACCTCTTTTTTTATCACCTACTTGGACTCCAATCATGCTTTAGCGTGCACTAAGTCCATCTTGCGTTTTGGTGGTCAATCAACATCGTGGTCCTTTAGGGGTCGACTTTAGCAAATAGGCTGTTGCCAGAATTCCGTTTGAATACTTAACCGATCTAGATTCAAGACTAGCTGTTAAGCCTTGAGAAAGTACAGGTGAGTATTGACTATTTACAACACATCATGAACATGGTGAGTGCAGCTGCTTGTGGATTTAAAGAATGTCTCACTTTTAAACACTGGACCCTTGCAACTCCTTAACTCTTATCGGTTTATTCTGCCAGGCAGCGATAAATCATGTGGCATTTGCGTAATCTTCACATAGGCTGTTGGTCAAAAAGTGCGATTAAAGTAATAGCAGCGGTTGCACGTGGCAATAGTTGAAGTTATCGCTGTTCATCAAAACCATTGGCAGCAAAAAGCCTGGTGTCTGAGATAGTCTGTGAAGTAGGCGCTGGGCCGATCTACAACTTTTGTAGACGCCTGGAACTGTTTGTCAGGACGGTATATGGATATCTTAGTTGGGGTTTACATGACCACAAGGATAAATGGTTAGAAATTTTAGCTGACAACTCAGAATCGATATCAGGGGCGCAGATGTATTGGCACTTTATTGTCATACTGAACTCCGCTATTCTGTCATTTCTCTTTATCTTTTGATGAATTATTTGTATTTTTGCCTGCTTTTTGTTTCGCCAACCATCCAAGTGCATTCTCGTTCGATATAAGGTGTGGCAACTTAGACCGCAGGAATTCTAGTTATGTTTATTTTCAGTCTGTCTGAAGTGCTTTATCTTGTTCACTATTTGAATTACTCGAAAAGTGGTCAGTTATCAAGGGAGAGAATATTTGTGCGGCGAAAGGTAGACATCTTGCTTGGGGTAGATGCAACAAATGAGATTGATGATTGGAAAGTCTGGTAGATTCGGATGTATCCACATACCGTCATCCTAATGGTCGTGTCCTTTTTATCCTTTTGAATCGTCTTTCCCGCTTCTTATGAGTTACTGTGACGTTTGGCTACATTTCACCTCTCGATTTCTCTCTCCTTTCATCTCGCTTCCTTATATCTTGAAGTGTTGATGTAAGGTGTAGCAACTTGGATTATTATACAGTTATAGCAAGTTCCATTTCAGTATTCTCCGACCAATTCGGATGCATATACTTCTTGTTCATAGGTAGTCATAAGGGTATAGGTAAGCCGATTATAGTTCTGTGTATCGTAAATTTAGTATCACTCCTATTTTTATGCTTTATATCCCTTGTGCTTATTTTCAAACTCAAATTTTTCAGATTCTCACCTGTATGCAGTTAACAAATATGGCTAAATAGACTGATATTTTTTAGGAAGTCCTAACTTGTACTTTTAAGTCATCGAGCTATTGACTATTCTAACTGTAAAGTTTCATTGTTTCAGCTTTCTGTTTTCCTCCTCTATTATTTAATTTAAGAGAGTTTCTTTATGATAACTAAAGTTATGGAGGCAAATTATAACTAACTGTATGCGTGCATTTATTTGGCATAACAGTTACTTATAGCATATGATATGGTATGACTGTTCGCATCAAATCTTGACACTCAATACTTTAGAATATACGGAAAATGAAAACATTGATTTCAAAAACAGATAAAGAGGGAAAGGAAGCATAATAAGGAGAATAAAAAAATTGAGATTCACCTATGGCGTAGATGTATATTAGTAGATTCAAGTCATGTCTTCCTCCACCTCAAAATACATGTCTCGTCTACTAAAATTCCTAATCACAGCCGTACTTATGTAGGAAGTCAAATAATTAATAGATTGACATCTACTAGTCTAATCACAATGAAGTGAGCGCTAAAAGAAATCACATGTTAAATTTAGTACCTGCATTAGTGGTATTCTACACTCATCAAATGATCGACTTGAAGCTGGACATCTGGCTTCCACACTGCTTGGTCACCCCCAAGCACCGACAAAGGGGAAATGATGGCTAAGTATATATATATTTTCTATTCCTTGACTTTCAGTAGTAATGTTCCACACTTATGTGAAAGCTGAGGTCGTAATGCTGTGCAATTGTCTCTTGACTGATATTCGGATGTTTTCCCCTCAAAGAAGGTGGTATAAGTTTGCAGAAACTGGAAGGTCTATTCTTTCTAATACATCGGTGGTTGGTAAGGATGAATTGCATTCTCTAACTGTGTGAAGTGGTTTAAGCACTCAACCAACAAGTTACGTCTTTTATGCTGAGTTCCAGCCAGTTTCTTATTCTGTTTCCTCTGCAAATTGTAAAGTGCCTCTTATCAAGTAAATGTACAAATAGGCATGGTAGTTATCCTAGGCTCAAGGATAAGATGTTGCACCAGGTAGTTACATTCCCAGCAACATAACTAAGTGTGAATAGCTCGGAAAAATACCAAAATCAGATGAAATTACGACAGGATGGACAAGCATAGAAGAATGAGGTGTTGATTATTGCATTTTCAAGTGTTGTAATTGTGCTGAATTGCTACCGAAAAAATATCATAAAATGCTCATTACTATTATTTAAGTTGCAACATATTATCAACTTACCCGAATGCTACGTAAAGATTGTCCATCCACTCTGCGGGTCCAAATGTTATGAAAAACTGTGAACCATTTGAATGACGTCCAGAATTGGCCATACTAAGAACTCCACGCTGGTCGTGTTTCATAATAAAATTTTCATCTTGCGAAAAATTGAAAATTTATTTCAAAGCTCATCTTAAAATTGACAACCAAATTCCATGTTGGGTAGCTAAGCATCACTCTCAATGATTTCTAGGAATATGGAAAGCCATAATCTATCTACCTTCGATAAATACGTATAAAACTGGGCTTTGAGATATAACAACTGTCTTAATACGGTCTCATTCACTGTAGAAACTATAACTGTATGTATAAAGCCTTTCAAATGAACCAAACTTAAAGGAAGTAATACGCAGATGCCTATTCTTTGAATCGGCAGGGAGGTCTTCAACACATTTTGAACTTATAGGTTAATGAATATTAGTCCTACGAATCGTAAATGAATACCAACAAATAATTGCATTTTACAGTGGATCTTGATACGGATTTGAACATGAAAATGCGTTTTTCGGCTTGCAAATTCAATATACTAGGGCATGCTAACAAACGAGGTAGTCACCTTATTGTGTCAAGTAGACACGAAAAATATGTTACTGCCTAGAATTCAAGGGGTTGAGAACTCTAGTGATCTGTCTGTTAGAAGGAACCGTACGTGACTTTTATCCAGTCCAAGATCAGTATTATATTTCCGGAGTTTTATGCATGGTTGAGGTAACATATGTATATGTAATGTACTTCATATTTCATGCGCTTTCTAAATAAACTTGTTAAACCCTTGTCTTTGATAACTTCAATTAATCTACAGTATTCTTTGGTGCAATGTGGAAATTTTATCCTATTTATCTCATCTTCGCGATTTCTTTCCTTCCACATTGGTATGCGACTGTTTTTGAGTAAGATAAACATGAAACGTGTTTAATGTTTGTTATTATGTATGAGTTAATACTGATTTTTAAAAATAAAAGGATCTGAAAAGTGAATTAAGCTGAAATAGCCCGGACCAGGACAACAGCAAATTCTGTGACTTAACCGATTAGATAACCTGGTCGCTTCCATCAAAGATTTGCTTGTGGCTGACAAGCTAAATTCAACCAGACTGTTCATGACACTAAACTTTTTGGAACAGTGGGTGCTGGAGCGACCCTATATCTATTTGTCTAACACACATATGAAACTGTGAGTTTCAATGAAGTAGCTTACCTTCAAACACTGGACCATATATAGAGTGACCGTCGTTTCCTCTACTGTATAATATATCTAAGAAAACTGAAGTTATTTCACCGTTTTACCTCCTCCTTGAATCCAACCATTTCTTACTAATCGGAAGAATTTCGTCCCTTTGTAGTGCATTTTGTATTTTTCTACCTCGTTCTTTTTAATCGTCCCATATTCACCAGTACACAGTGACCTGAAGTTTTCGCACGTTTTTGGCAAAATGTCTGAGTATAGCTGGCTATTCATTAGTTAAATTAATTTTCACACCTCGAAGAGTAGTACTCCACATTTTTGTCCATCAATAGATATCAGCATAGATACAAATATTCTCTGAAAGATTGTTGAAGAACCAAACTATTAAGTATGCTGATTTGACCCTACATTCAGAGCACACAACATTTTTCGATAACCATCTTCTGCTAACGTTCTATATAGGGCCAAGGGACGGTAATCAGTGAACCCAAATTCTTTGTCCGCCCAAGCATAGAAGTCGATTTCTGACCCCTTTGGGACTCCATCGATGAGAACTAAAACATCGTTTGTGCAGCACAAGTAAGACCCTCCAAGTTTCTATAATATGTAAGACTCGATTTTTCCCCACCTTCCGTTCCTCTTTTATAAACTGTGACCATTCAAATTCAAACATCTCATATACTCTGGGTTTCGCCAGTATCTCAGGATGTAACTCAAACAAATCCTTAGCATGATTAATTGAATTATAAAATACTCACAGTTGCATAAGCTTTAGCTTTCTGAAAACTCTCTTTTCGAACCAAACCATATATATTTATAATCATCGCTACTTTCAAATTACAAACCAAGATTCATGCCAATAGTAACAGTGAAGGGATTAGAACAAACAAACTCTCGCTACACGTTTGCAAACTTCCTGTTGTTGAGATAATGAATAACATTCCATTTGAATTCTTCGTCTGTCTCAATCAAATATGTTTTATGTATGGAGTAGTCAGTTGTCTTTCGGATCTGCAGGGATACAGATTATAAATCAGCCAATTAGTTAGTTAGCTCAATAAGGGTAGTGCTACTATACACTGTTTTTATGATGACGGGTGGCTTCCTATGTGCAATCCATCTGTACCAAAGAACCCTAAATATGAATCAAACATCATTTTGAAAGCAACACGAGAAGACAATGTGGTGTCTTCAGGAAGGGTATTCCATTGTGTATATACCCTAGCTGCAAATGAGCTAGTGCAGATAATCAGACATGTCTTCCCGTGCTCAAATCTGAATGTTTGGCCTCTGAGGTACTGTTTCTGATCAAAACTTAGGAAGGATCGATTAAGATTTAGGGGATTATGGGTGATATGATATGATGTAACATGGTCATATCCCCTTCGGTTCCCCTGAATTGTGTCGCTTACAGCTTATGAGAAACCAACCGTTCAGGGCAAGGTTTGCGCCGTAGACCGATCATATTCTCCCTAGCTCTTCTCTGTATTCCTTCTAGGGTGGCAATATCCTCATCCAACCATTGGGAAACAACTAGGGAATTACTGTAGGTGGGGACGAATGTGTCGTCAGCTCACTGTGAGGAGTAGGCCTAGATTTAGACGCGGTGGAAACTCTAGGACTTTATGCTCCTCGTCGGCTGCAGAGTGACATTGAATAGAGCATGGGAAATATTTATTTTCCCAGGGATTAGAAGCTGAAATTACGCCAACATTTGTCAACTATCACCACCCTACACTTCTGCTAGTTGAGACGGAGCCGGTTTTGACTTGTCCAGTTTAGAAATGTCTTTCTGCAGAATCCAGGCACCATCTACCTCCCGCATCTCCTTCTAAGCCTTGAGATTTCGGCGTGAAATAAAGAGTGAGCATTTTGGCTTACTGACCATTCGTTTATGAAGCAAAGGACTATTGTGCACCAGGGCTGAAACCCCAAGACACCTTACTCAGCTTGTGAGGCCATCTAGATAAGTAAGAGGCCACTTCGACTGGCTGTAAGCGGCCGTTGGTGTAACGTCAAGTGAGTAACTTTCCGTTTTCCTCAACAAGCCGAAGTTACACAGGCTATCACGATTGACCTTGCCAAAGGCCTCAGAAAAATATAGTTTCCTAATAGTAATGATAATAATAATTTATTCCTGAATATACAGGCACACACCATTTTTACAAGTTTATATACAAATTACATTCATCTTCATGGGAGGTAATCTGAATCCCTACCCATTGTCACTAGAAGATATAAGTGCTGCATGTTCATATAATGGAACATCCCGCGTAATAAGTGCGCAGAAGATTTACAAGTTGGACAAGTGGAAGTATTATCTTTTATTACTGAAAAATCCAGGTTTGTATCCAGACACTACAGGTATTACCTGGAGAAAAATAAAGCTTGAAGCTGATACTCCCATTGTAACAGTTTGTACCTTTTGTTTGAGATAATGATAAAAATTTTATGAATTGTTTACATATTGTACTTCATTGATGATTCCAGGACTGTATAATTCACCCATGTTAACACCATGGATGGATTTTTTCTGCCCGTGTTACCTGACCATTCCGGTAAAATCCGTGTAAGGAATGAGTCATTAAGTAGATAATCACGAACTGCATCATTTACTGCTTTTCCCACAACCTTCACAGATGAAGAGACCAAGGACGTTGGCTGGCAGGTATAAGCAGGTGGTTTATTGCCACCTTTGTGTGTTGCGATGATGGCTACTTGTCTGCACTCACAAGGAAACTAACTGTCTACAAAAGAAAGTGAGAAGAGGTTTGGCAGTGGATGGTTAGAGCATCCATACACCTCCAATACTGTCGGATGGACGCCGTCAATTCCTGAATGTATATTAGGACCTAGGCTCCTTAACATTCTCCTCTGCAAAAATAGTGATTATCTGGTTCGTGGCTATCTATTCCACCTGCAGAGATTATCTTGAAATCCCCGATCTGGAAAGTTACCTACCCCACAGTCAGTGTCATGAATCACTGAACACTAAGGTCCTGTGCAGCAAGTTAAACGTAACTCTTGATTTTAAGCAGACAGCATAATACAGTGAGATTCACTCCGGGTATTATTTCCATACAAATGTCCCTGGCAGTCTGCTGTTTCATTTCCTACTTTTGCCTTTCATCTGTTACAAATTTCCCTGCAACCTTTCCGGTTGCCTATGGAACTAGGAACCCCCAATATGCTCGAAGTCAAATGCTTCCACTGTGAGAGCTTATGAGGGCTCAATTCAATCCAGGAAAAGTAGATCCTTTTACTTTTTCGTGGAATGAAATGTTGCCTCTTTCAACAGTTCCCATCCGGTATCCAGATAAAGTAGGTTGTCGAGATTCGGTGAAGCAGAACCTCCTAAATCTTGTTCTGCCTTTCATTGTCAGTTTTTCTTTGGTAGCTGCCTACTGGTTGGCAAAATGAAAATGACTCAACTATAGAAATGCTTAAGGCAACCTGCAGATGACCACTCTGTCCAAGGAGGGAATGGACAACTAAGTTGGGCACACCAGTGGTCTTGTTGGTTACAGCAGAGTCTAGCTGAGATACTCTATCGTCAGGCTCCCAGTGAGCAGACTAAAAGACAAACTATTTCAAGCGGTTTTCTAGTGTTCTGCTGAAACTTTTTGGTGAGGATGGAATTCTGGTGTTGAAGAAAGGATAAAAGCCGAATTCACCTGCAGTGAAGGCCTGAGATAAGTTCAAATAAAGGACGCCTTCGATGGACTGAACCACTTTCTTATGAGATATTTCGGGGGCTCCTTGGGAGAAAAGAGTAAACCCAACCAAAAAGAAACCCTCAAACTGCCTAATGTCTCTTCAGAGTATCAGTAGTGTTAGTTCTCGAGGAAGAAATCCCGTGAGCTTTCAATGAAAGGCAGGCCTAAAGCGCAACACTAGTTCCAGATTCTAATCATCAATCATTGAGAGCTAAACTGGGTCCTTCCAGAAAACCTTCACCACCTTTCCTATCATTGGTACGTCATTTTTCAGGGATAACCATGGCGTCAGTGGGCTTCTCTTGAACTAATGACTTCATCCTAGATATCCCGGAGCGCAAACCTCGCCCATTTTACTAGATACGGCGAATGGGAGTATCGAAACTTGAGGCCTCAGCTGGCGACTGGGTCAACGCACTTATCTAGCTGGCCTTTGAAGTGCAGGCTTCGTCAAACCTCTACTAGTTACGGAACACTACTTAGAGGATTCATGTTCTCAAACCAGCCAGTTTGAGAGCTGCCATAGGGACCTTGGCCACCAGATATGGCACAAAAGTTGCTTTCCATGTCCTGAATATTTTATCGTTGAATGTGGAGTGTTGGGAGGAAAGATCTTGGGTCTTCCCTTAGTCTGATCTTGTTTCATGGTTTTACAATCACTTATCTTCATGACCCTAGGGAGAGCATTCGATTTATCTTACCATGGCTCCAGGGTTATTCTAACCGTGCCCGAATCGTCACCAGAAACTTGAAACAAACTGGCAGTACGGATGTTTGGGAGGCGAGTTAAGCTCGGAAGACGTAGAATTTTTTCGGACCCCACATAAACCTGCAGATTATATAATAAACACCTCCACCTACTTATGCCGTGAGTAAAATCACCGGTCTCACTGCCCAGAAACTCTGAAATTCCATATATGATGACTAACCGGAATATAAATGAATCAATAAATATTTTATTCCCATATCAATAATTTAACATGAGAGAAGCCAGTTTACAGGCATCATCACATTGATACATGTTGGAAAATTTACAAGATTTCATGGGATCTAAATGGTACGGAATGGAGGTCATTAAATTGTATTAAAAACCTCAGAAGATTACACGAGTCATGAAATGAGCAAGAAAATACAACTTTTCAGCGTACACAGAGTGTTAAAGTTTGGATCGTTTGAAGTCATACTTTCTTTTTTCACCATCAGTGGCACCAAGGTAGCGCGAGATTCTAAATTTCCGTTACAAGCAATCGGCTTGGTTGATTCGTCTTCGCCATGCCCGTTACGCTATATAAACATCTATTTTAACGTGACTTCTTGTATTTATAGCTTTGGGTACCAGAAGAACTTGCGCTGAGTATCTGTTCAAGTGTCCCAAGGAGCCCCCGAAATATCTCATAAGAAAGTGGTTCAGTCCATCGAAGGCGTCCTTTATTTGAACTTATCTCAGGCCTTCACTGCAGGTGAATTCGGCTTTTATCCTTTCTTCAACACCAGAATTCCATCCTCACCAAAAAGTTTCAGCAGAACACTAGAAAACCGCTTGAAATAGTTTGTCTTTTAGTCTGCTCACTGGGAGCCTGACGATAGAGTATCTCAGCTAGACTCTGCTGTAACCAACAAGACCACTGGTGTGCCCAACTTAGTTGTCCATTCCTCCTTGGACAGAGTGGTCATCTGCAGGTTGCCTTAAGCATTTCTATAGTTGAGTCATTTTCATTTTGCCAACCAGTAGGCAGCTACCAAAGAAAAACTGACAATGAAAGGCAGAACAAGATTTAGGAGGTTCTGCTTCACCGAATCTCGACAACCTACTTTATCTGGATACCGGATGGAACTGTTGAAAGAGGCAACATTTCATTCCACGAAAAAGTAAAAGGATCTACTTTTCCTGGATTGAATTGAGCCCTCATAAGCTCTCACAGTGGAAGCATTTGACTTCGAGCATATTGGGGGTTCCTAGTTCCATAGGCAACCGGAAAGGTTGCAGGGAAATTTGTAACAGATGAAAGGCAAAAGTAGGAAATGAAACAGCAGACTGCCAGGGACATTTGTATGGAAATAATACCCGAGTGAATCTCACTGTATTATGCTGTCTGCTTAAAATCAAGAGTTACGTTTAACTTGCTGCACAGGACCTTAGTGTTC